TTGTTCACGTGTCGCTTCAAATAGCCAAGACCCGAGTTGCCCCCCTTAAGGTGCTGAGCATTCCTCGGCTTGAGTTGTGCGGTGCACATCTACTGGCTAAAGTCGTAAGACACTTTACTGATAGCTGTCCTTGTGATGGAGTTCCCATCCACCTGTGGACGGATTCTCTTAATGTCCTCCACTGGCTTAACGCTCCGCCGTCAAAGTGGCCGGTCTTCGTAGCCAACAGATGTTCAGACATCCACCACTTGATGCCGAGCGTTAAATGGCATCACATCTCCTCAAAACAGAACCCAGCTGATCTGGCTTCTAGAGGCATTCTCCCTAGTCAGCTAATTGCCAAGCAGTTGTGGTTTCATGGCCCAGACGTGTTGCATGAGACTGATCCCCAGTACCCTGACCTGAAACTTGAAGTCATCGAGCCGTCTCCCTCATTCAACCTCGTAGCAAGTTGTTCGAAAAAGGAGCCTGACTCCTTCGTTACCTCGCTCCTTAGCCGTTGCTCTCATTGGTTCAGGTTAACACGGGTCACGGCTTACGTCCTGCGTTTCGCTTATCGATGTCTTGGTAGACTGAGGCAGTCATCCTTAACTACATCTATACAGTCCACTGACCTGAGTTTCATCAAACGTGAAGCTTTTGCTCGATACATTTATTCCAGCTTGACTACCATTGAGTTAGAATCGGCGTCTCTGCTTTTGATCTTTGATTATCAACAGCGTCATTTTGCTCATGACATTGCCGTCTTGAAACGCAACGCTAATCTGCCCATTAGTCAACAGGAGCATCTTCCTGCCTCGAGCCATTTGCGTAAGCTCGCTCCTTTTCTCTCTGATGGATTGTTACGAGTTGGAGGTAGGCTAAGTAACGCTTTGCTCGACTCTAACGCGAAACACCCACTAATCTTGTTTGGTAGAGATTCTCTCATCCTGTTACTTGTTAAACGCTATCATCTTCTTACTCTTCACGGTGGTAACAAAATAACTTTGACCGCTCTTCGTCGAAAGTACTGGGTACTAAATGGTCGTCAGATTGTAAGTTCTGTGCTGTCTCACTGCTTGATCTGTCGCCGGTATGCTGCACAGCCACAAACGCAGTTGATGGCAGATCTGCCAGCTGCAAGAGTAACTCCCTCACCAGCATTTTTAAGAACTGGTGTGGATTACGCCGGTCCTTTTCCTGTTCGTTTAGCAAAGCACCGCGGGAAAGGCACCCTTAAGGGCTACGTTGCGGTCTTTATTTGTATGGTCACGAGAGCTGTACATCTGGAGGTCGTCGAGAACTACACTGCCGACTCTTTCATAGCGGCCTTTCTACGTTTCACGTCTCGTCGTGGCCAGTGCTCCGATCTCTATAGTGATCGAGGCACTAACTTTGTGGAAGCTGATCGAGAGATGAGCAAAATGTTGATGGATCGTCATAAAAACGTCTCCTTTGCCGATGCTCTCTGCACCCTTGGAACGCAATGGCACTTCAACCCCCCTTCAGCCCCCCATTTTGGTGGTTTATGGGAGGCTGCAGTCAAATCGACGAAATTCCACCTTAAGAGAGTCATCGGAAACCAACCTTACCTTCGTCGAATTTTCCACGTTGTTATGTAGGATCGAGTCATGCCTTAACTCGAGGCCTTTGGCACCCTCGACAGACGATCCCTCCGATTTAAGTCCACTAACTCCTTCTCACTTTTTAATGTTCAAATCTTCTTACTCGACACCAGAGCCTGACTTAACTTCCGAGAAAATCTCGCCTTTACAACGGTGAAAGCTACTGTCCCGAACCTTACAATGTTTTTGGCGCAGGTGGTCAGCAGAGTATCTTAGCTCTCTCCAAACTCGTGAAAAATGGGTCTCTCCCCAACGGTCATTACAGGTAGGGGACCTAGTATTAATTAAAAACGAGAACACTCCTCCTGGCAAGTGGCCTCTCGGGAGAGTCGAAGATGCTTTTGAAGACCCAAAGGCGTTGGTGCGAGTCGTAAAGGTTAAAACTCAAAGTACTATCTTAACCAGACCAATTCATAAGTTAATTTTGCTACGTACCGTTTCCGAGATCGAATCAACGGGCACACGTTAAGTAATTAAGTAATTATTTGAGAGATGGTATAACTATTTTCGCGGTCCAACCTCACCGCCTCTCTTATTGTATAGTTTATAAATATAATAACACTTAGAATTAATTCAAAAAATCGCACATTTTTTCGCTTTATAATTTATAATTTTCCCTTTTGCTTCGTTTCTGGTAACACTCATTGTACCAATTTAAAGAAATTAAGAAAAAATACCTTTATACAAAATTGTACCGTTAGGTGGATTTCCTCTTCGCAAATGGTCGTCTAACTCGCCGCAGGCTTTGGCTAGCGTCCCTCTTGACCATCGAGTCGACCAGCCAAAGACTTTGCAAGAAAATCCAGAAGCCATTTCAGTCCTTGGATTGTCTTGGGACCCCCAGACTGATGAATTTGCTTTCAAATTCACGGTTGATGAGTTNGCCAGTCACGCTGCACTGCGTCTCTTCTCCCTCCTGTGTAAGAAAGTCAATGTACGCTAGTGTTCAGTTCTGAACGGAAATTAAAGCTGATTCAATAAAAGGAAGTCGCCCTTTTATTTACCCGCGTACACTACAATTCCTAAAAGTTCTCGTCAAGTCCTTCGTCCACACGATCTGGCGCAACAACAGTGCAGGAGCACCGCCTCCCGGGCATCATCCCGTACAACTAATGTTGCAACTTATGTAGCAATTTGTATTACAACACTTTTGCAATGAAGATTGCAGTAATTTCGCGTTGCAGCATTTGTTGCAACTATTGTTGCNCGATCCTCGGACGGTCGATTTGTGGTCAGACTTCCGTTTAAAGGTCAAGTCGCTGACGCTCTTTCCCTTCGGGAAAGCTCTTATAACACGGCGCTCTCCATGTTTCACCAACAAGAAAAAAGGTTTAGGAATAACCCTCACCTGTTCGAGTCATACAAGACCTTATGGCTGAGTACTTGGTTCTTGGTCAAATGCGCGAAGTATCGAATTCGAGCCTAGCGAAGTGTTTTCTTCCTCATCATGGAGTTTTGAAGACCAATACGCCAACTCGTAAGCTGCGAGTTGTCTTTAATGGCTCTGCTAGGAACAGAGGTGGTCTGTCTTTGAACTCCTTACTCCACACAGGTCCAAATCTCCTGTTAACTCTTTTCGAGCTGATTCTCAGGTGGCGTTTTTATAAGTTTGTCTTTACCACCGACGTAGAAAAGATGTTCCGGCAGATTCCAGTTCATCCAGACGATCAAACTTTTCAAGCGATCCTTTGGAGACCTGCCGTCTCTTCTCCGATCAAAACCTACTTCCTTACTACCATCACTTATGGTCTCGCGTGTTCCCCATTCCTGGCGACTCGTGTCTTACGCCAACTTGCCTCTGAGCATGCTGAATCGCATCCTAGAGCTTCCAGGATTCTTCGCGAAGAATTTTACGTAGATGACTGTTTGTCAGGCGGTCATTCGGTGGAGGAGGCCTCAATAAAATGTGAGGAACTCACGAAACTGGCACGATTAGGTGGATTTCCTCTTCGCAAATGGTCCTCTAACTCGCCGCAGGCTTTGGCTAGCGTCCCTCTTGACCATCGAGTCGACCAGCCAAAGACTTTGCAAGAAAACCCAGAAGCCATTTCAGTCCTTGGATTGTCTTGGGACCCCCAGACTGATGAATTTGCTTTCAAATTCATGGTTGATGAGTTTCCTAATCTCTGGACCAAGAGAACCTTGTTCGCCCAGACTGCCCGGTTCTTCGATCCTTTGGGCTGGTTCTCATTGGTGATAATAGTTCCAAAGATGTTGCTACAATCACTGTGGTTGCTTAAAATTTCGTGGGACACGCCCCTTCCAGACTCAGTTGTTGAACCTTGGGTCAGGTGGTTGAGTGAGATTCCTCAACTCAATCAAGTGAGGATTCCCCGTTGGAAATTTTATTCCCCTAGTATCCGGTTAGAGATATATGGATTCGCTGATGCGTCTAAGTCAGCCTACGCCGCTGTCGTCTGCACCCGCGTGGTTGTAGAAAATGTTGTTCACGTGTCGCTTCAAATAGCCAAGACTCGAGTTGCCCCCCTTAAGGTGCTGAGCATTCCTCAGCTTGAGTTGTGCGGTGCACATCTACTGGCTAAAGTCGTAAGACACTTTACTGATAGCTGTCCTTGTGATGGAGTTCCCATCCACCTGAAGACGGATTCTCTTAATGTCCTCCACTGGCTTAACGCTCCGCCGTCAAAGTGGCCGGTCTTCGTAGCCAACCGTCCTGCGTTTCACTTATCGATGTCTTGGTAGACTGAGGCAGTCATCCTTAACTACATCTATACAGTCCACTGACCTGAGTTTCATCAAACGTGAAGCTTTTGCTCGATACATTTATTCTAGCTTGACTACCATTGAGTTAGAATCGGCGTCTCTGCTTTTGATCTTTGATCATCAACAGCGTCATTTTGCTCATGACATTGCCGTCTTGAAACGCAACGCTAATCTGCTCATTAGTCAACAGGAGCATCTTCCTGCCTCGAGCCGTTTGCGTAAGCTCGCTCCTTTTTTCTCTGATGGATTGTTACGAGTTGGAGGTAGGCTAAGTAACGCTTTGCTCGACTCTAACGCGAAACACCCACTAATCTTGTTTGGTAGAGATTCTCTCACCCTGTTACTTGTTAAACGCTATCATCTTCTTACTCTTCACGGTGGTACCCAAATAACTTTGACCGCTCTTCGTCGAAAGTACTGGGTACTAAATGGTCGTCAGATTGTAAGTTCTGTGCTGTCTCACTGCTTGACCTGTCGCCGGTATGCTGCACAGCCACAAACGCAGTTGATGGCAGATCTACCAGCTGCAAGAGTAACTCCCTCACCAGCATTTCTAAGAACTGGTGTGGATTACGCCAGTCCTTTCCCTGTTCGTTTAGCAAAGCACCGCGGGAGAGGCACCCTTAAGGACTACGTTGCGGTCTTTATTTGTATGGTCACGAGAGCTGTACATCTGGAGGTCGTCGAGGACTACACTGCCGACTCTTTTATAGCGGCCTTCCTACGTTTTACGTCTCGTCGTGGCCAGTGCTCCGATCTCTATAGTGATCGAGGCACTAACTTTGTGGGGGCTGATCGAGAGATGAGCAAAATGTTGATGGATCGTCATAAAAACGTCTCCTTTGCCGATGCTCTCTGCACCCTTGGAACGCAATGGCACTTCAACCCCCCTCAACCCCCCCATTTTGGTGGTTTATGGGAGGCTGCAGTCAAATTGACGAGATTCCACCTTAAGAGAGTCATCGGAAACCAAGTCCTTACCTTCGTCGAATTTCCCACGTTGTTATGTAGGATCGAGTCATGCCTTAACTCGAGGCCCTTGGCACCCTTAAAAGACGATCCCTCCGATTTAAGTCCACTAAATCCTTCTCACTTTTTAATGTTTAAATCTTCTTACTCGACACCAGAGTCTGACTTAACTTCCGAGAAAATCTCGCCTTTACAACGGTGGAAGCTACTGTCCCAAGCCTTACAATGTTTTTGGCGCAGGTAGTCAGCAGAGTATCTTAGCTCTCTCCAAACTCGTGAAAAATGGGTCTCTCCCCAACGGTCGTTACAGGTAGGGGACCTAGTTTTAATTAAAAACGAGAACACTCCTCCTGGCAAGTGGCCTCTCGGGAGAGTCGAAGATGCTTTTGAAGACCCAAAGGCGCTGGTGCGAGTCGTAAAGGTTAAAACTCAAAGTACTATCTTAACCAGACCAATTCATAAGTTAATTTTGATACGTACCGTTTCCGAGATCGAATCTACGGGCACACGTTAAGTAATTAAGTAATAACTTTAGAGATGGTATAACTATTTTCGCGGTCCAACCTCACCGCCTCTCTTATTGTATAGTTTATAAATATAATAACACTTAGAATTAATTCAAAAAATC